ATTAAATTAACTCATTAATTTATGGGTTTATTATTTTCAGTTCGTGTTTCAGCGTTAATAAAACTATTGTTTGAAGAGAAGTTTCATTCGATGGTTGAGGAGTATTTTAATAATTATCTTTTCATTGTATTATCTGTAACTTATTGAGAAACATCAAACGAAATCTGTTTTACAAAAACGAGTGATGAACAAGGAAACCATGTCAATTTCCGTTTGAAACAGTTTATTTCGAAAACGGTTCAAAATAGAAATAGATTATCTGAACAAAGTTAATCCAAAATTGGATGTAGAGCTCAAAAATGTTGAAATATACAGGGTGTTCCATTTGAAAAAATTGAGTTCCACTCTTTTTTCATGAGATCAAAGTATCTGCATTTTTTGAAGACCCTGTATGAGGCAAATGAAAATATGACTCGGAGTGAAGGTCCTCATAGTATCACTCCACTCCATTTCAAATTTGATCGTTTTAGTGTCTTTTAACTTTCCCTCTAACACATGATAGGTTCACAAAAGAAAGACGTACAATACAGGAAATAGCAGCCACTAACGGTTTCTCGGGGGATATTGTAGATGACATAATAAGGAAGAAGAAGTTTAGGTTAAGAATGAACAAAATCTCGACTTTCAGAAAGGACAAAAACCAAGATAAATACATCTCAGTTCCATACCACCAATATACGAAGAACTTTGGAAAGATTTTCAAGGAACTAGGTATGAAGGTGGTTTTTAAAACAAGTCATAAACTACAGAGCCTCTTAGGAAGTCCAAAATACAAAGTCGAGAATTCGGATAAGTCTGGAATTTTCGAAATCGAATGTAAGGACTGCGATACAAAATATTATGGACAGACAAAAATATCTATTAAAGTAAGATATAAGGAACACATAGCATACTTAAAATATGGAAGACCTGAAAAATCAGCAGTCGCTCATCATATTTTGCAACAAAATCATTTCATAGACTTCAGTTCATCAAGATTAGTTAGACAAGTTAACAACAACAGGCAACTAGATGCCTATGAGAGTTTAGAAATAAGTAAACACGATATTATTATGAATAACGATGACGATGAATAACCTATACCAAAGAGCATACTATATAGCTTGTTAAAATAATATTGTTGGGTTTACTGATTAATACATAAGGACACATTGCAGAAATAAATTTAGGTAGGCAATATTGTGAAATTAATTTTTTTATAGCTGAAAATTTCTTTATATACAGATATAACAGTTAAACATATATTGTAAAATAATAGATAAGGCAAAATTGTAAAATTAATTTAGGTTGGTATACCTGTATGGGTGGTACGCCTGGATGGCTTACCTGTATGGGATACCTATATAGCATAAATAGGGTTAGCTCGCATTAGTTTCTAGTTTTAATCTTCCTCTTTGAAGATGATCACTTGGTGATCGAAACATGTGTCGAGGTGTTAAAAATAACGATTTGGTGTTGGGGAAAAAACTCTAGTAATATTCATTACTACCTCAAAGATTCCAAACAGTGCATCTTAAAAAAAATCGCTCAAGATGTTGAAGCCTTCCAAAAAAGACAGGTTGAAAAGTCGCCTGACTTGACGTTGTCAAAAAGTAATTTTCGGTATTAGGGATTCTAATGTGGGAAATAGTAATGGTGCCTTTCCCAGAAAATCGACTATGGAATAGGATGCAAATTACCCAGCTAGTAGACTTGCTTTTCTATGGCTGTTGTTGCAATTGAACCATGTCGTTGA